AAACAGCATATTACTCCTGTATAGTGGGTAGATGATAGTATTTGAGAATTACTTCTATGACACTGAATGTGGCAGATAATGTATGGGGTAAACATTATGTTGCTATCAATGTGTTAACATTAAGTGTTCATTTGTTCACATTCACTATAATAATATTCACATTTAGTTACATTTTAATGATACATCCTCAGAAATTTCATTTACAATGATCCCCTTTTTATCTGAGAATGGAATGACAGTTGTGTTGATGAAAATTACACTAAATACCTACTATACATGTAACTTATATCTATTGAGAGATATATATTTAACTGAACTAAAGGAAATAACAGAGTTAAAAACACACCTCAGATATAACAGGAAATAATATTTCGCTGAATTGTTCAAACTTATCCACTTCTTGTGCCTCCACTATCGCAGCTAGACAATACAAAGCTTCTATTTTGTATTCTTTTTTCTCTTTTTTACACTCTCTGATTAAAACTGTTAGCACTTCTTCCATTGATGGCTGCTCTCCAGCATCATTTGGAGGATTCTGTAACACATCTCTGCAGACAATAAAAGGTCATGTCAATGCATTCACAAACAATATTATAAACTTAAAAGTTGATCCTGTATACATACACATGAAGACAAAACGATCTCAATGTTGAGTGCAAGTCACATGTACATGTTAAACACCATGCAGTATGATTGTAATTGCACAGACTGACAAAATGTAGTGATTAAGTTAAAGTATGGCGTGCCCCAATGATCTGTACTGGGCCCTATCCTTTTCACTGTGTACACATCACCACTTGGTGACGTAATCCGACATCACAACATTAACTTTCATCCCTATGCTGACCACACACAACTATATTTATGTTTCAAGACCAACGATATTGACATCAACATTTGCCATATGGAAAGTGTAATCAAGGATAGTCATAATTGGTTGACATCAAATTTCTTAAAACTCAACTCGAACAAGACGGAACTGTTACTTATTGGATCTCGACCAAATCTGGCCAAGTTAAATTAACCATCTATACAGATTGAGGGTTGTACCATCGTGCCAACAACATCTGCTCGTAAGCTTGGTGTCGAGTTTGACAAGCATATTGGAAAATCATGTGAATAGTATTTGTAAATCATCATACTTTCATATCCGCAATATTAGTTCCATCAGGAAGTACCTAACTAATGCAACTACAAAACAATTAGTATATTCTTTTGTGACATCAAGGATTGCTCAGACGAATATTCATAAGCTCCAACATGTACAGCGACACGCCTCATCATAAGGACCAAGAAATTTTACCATATCACTGAAGTTCTATACAACCAACATTGGCTTCCTTTTCAACAATGCATTAATTTCAAGATTATGTTAATCGCGTTTCGTGCAATTCACAAGACCCTGCCATCCTACATTTGCGAACTTGTTTCATTGTACAAACCCACCCACAGTCTGCGCTCCACAAATCAACTTCTTCTGAACGTGCCAAAAACTAATACCAAATCTTTCGGTCATGCTGCTCCTGCCTTATGGAATGAACTACCCCTACATATCAAATTCTCAGACAATATTGACATTTTTAAGAAGAAACTTAAAACTCATCTTTTTAGACAGACTTTTAATAGTCAGTAGTTTTTGATTTTATTTTGATGGTTTATAACTTCATCTTTTTTATATTGTTAAGTGCCTATGAACATTTAATTTTGGATATATGGCGCTATATGAATGCATACTTATTATTATTAGCACAGACAGACCGATCGACCGACAGACAGACCGATCAACAGACAGACAGATCGACAGATCGACAGACAGACAGACAGACAGACAGACAGACAGACAGACAGACAGACAGACAGACAGACAGACAGACAGACAGACAGAGAAACTAGCATGGATAAATGAAAAGGACCAATGATTGCTAGTTAGCTATTTTTCTAAAATATGAACCTGATACAAAGTCCCATTTATTCCAAAAAAAAACCCATTCTGGATACATTTACAGACTGCGATTCAGGTTTCAGGAAACAAAATGGCTGAAAATTTGACAAATTTCATCAAATCACAAACTATGGTATGAATCAGGCAATATGTTAGTGAGTAAGACATGAATCTTGAAAAAACTATGACATGCACCTGTAACCCATTTTCAATGTTAGTGATGAAATTAGTTAGTGATGTTCATTTCTGAGAAATGGTTTCAAAAACATCTAAGTGAGGACACAAATAGCCACAAATAGTCAGCTATATTTGATCAAATGATAATTTTAAGAAAATTGACATGTATATGTAAGTGGTCTTTGTGTTTAAATGTGATAGGCCAAAGTATGTATGAAAAATTACTCTGGACAGATGAACCAAACCAAATTATAATTGTTTAATGGAAAGTAATATGGCAAAATTTAAATGGACTCAAATATAAGTCAAAATAGACACCATTCAGTTGTTGTAGTATCACTGAAGTATGTTAATGAGGACAATTTTGAGTTGAAGTTCTTGTGGAGTTGTGAAAATTCTGTTGTATATTCTCCCTAGGACAGGACTTCAGTAGTTCGGCAGAAACTACACACGTCTAACTCTATGATAAGAGGCAAATGACTGAGTAGACCAAGATATGCATGCTTATTATATTACTGTTTATATTAATAATATTAGGTTATTACAAGGATACCTCAAAGTATGCAGAAACCAATGCAACAGTGTACTGTCTGCGTGCATACTTTGAGGTATTCTCGTAATAACCTTATTATTATACATCTTTTCCTTCCAAGGATGCACCATAGAAATGCCCAAATTCAAAAAGTTTAGAACAGAATCAGTGAACTTCAGTGAAGTGTGGAGTTGGGTCAAACCCTGGTGGCAGCCATGTTTGTTGTTGTTGTTATTATTAGAGGACGCTTACACGCATAATCATTCCATATTTGGAATTTGCATTTCCTACTGCATGCTGTAACTTATGGCGTTACGGGTGATAGATGTATAATAATATGTATTGTACTCACTTGCATGACACACATAAAGATTGTACAGCTTTCAATAATGCTTCCTGTTAAGAGAACAATAATGAAATGCACTATAAATGTATAAAATATAACAAGTCATGTCACAGAGCATAGGAAGTAGGTATGCTTACATAAGTTACTAGGTGTTTCTATGGTCAAAATTAGTAATATTTTAATGATTCATTTTACAAGAAATGTGCTTTTTGGTTTACATGGACTTCTACTGAAGATGCACTTCATACCGTACTTAGGGTATAATATTTGTGTAATGTGATTCACACTTATAGTAACAGTAGTATATTTTAATAAATGACTCATTACCAATAACATAGTCTGTATTTGATTTGAAAGATCATTGTAAAGAAATAAGTGAGATAGGTACTACATCTACTTATTTATTACACATTATTCTCACTCTAGTGTATTGTTGTATGTTGTTCTGTTTTTTGGTAGTAATGAAATAAAAAGTATTAAGACATAGGGGCTGGTCAGGTATACACAAGTATTTATTATGCTATATAGGAGTGTTTTTTAGTCATTCTATTGTGTTCCCAGTATTTCCAATGAGATAGCGAACCAGTCAACAACTGAGCTGGCAATATGGTGATGACAGTAAGTAATACCAATTTGAAAGTGAGTTCAAAACTGTGCATACAGGTGCATACTTTTTAAATTGTTTTGGTGCATTTATCCAACTAAAATGGTCACTAGTGGGAAATCTTGAAACACAAAGTCCAACCTGTATTTTAAATGCTATGAGACTGCCTGAAGGTGGCTACTAACACAGGTTTGACTGAATATGTGACATGAGATAGTATGCTATTTGTTAAAAATATTATCAATAGAAGCAGATTAGAGGTAATGGTACTGTATAAGCCTTAGTTTCAGAGAAAGACACTAATGTCTTGCTGATAACATAAAAGAAATCATGCAAAATGATAGAAAGAGTGAACTTTGCCAGTAAAATGATTTGTTGCATATGTTGGTTAATTTGCTAACTAACCTTGCCATCCCATGTTCTTCCTGATAAACCTTTAAGTAAAGCTTTGAGTAGAATACCAAGATGTGGTGGTTTTAGAGTGGATGATAATTTATTGGCCACAGTGCTCATAGCTGATGCAGCTTGGGATTTCATATGCCATGACTGAGAATTTAACATATGTTCTGTGATAACTACTATTTCAGCAATGTACAATCGAATACCACTTTCAGTACCTGGAGTACAATCTAACCAGACTTCTTCCCATGGTGTTTGTTTGCCATCATCCTCACCTGTTGAAAATAATACAAAATGTATTCCATGGTAATAACATGCAAAGCATTAAATAACTTTGAGTCTCAAACGAGTGCCAAATTTCTTTATTATTTCAATATTTATATCAAAATAAAGACCATACTGATGCATAATTATGGCCGAAAATATCTTTGATAACCCTGTAATTTTGAAAATCTAACCAGGTCGTGCAGGTTACATGTGATTAAGGTTTCTATTACAAACACAAATAGAAAACCTACTTTGACCTTTTTTCCTGAAAATCTACCAATCTTGTGAGTTATATTGGTAAAATGTATATCAAAGGTGGTGCATATAGTCTTATCTACTGTGTGTTATTCACACTTCTGGAGACCTCACAACTTCTTGGTATCAAAACTACCTTTGCCATTGATAAATGTTACTTGTCCAACTTACAAACTCACAGTTAGTATCCAGATTGGTAAATTTCCAACAATGTGTTAAGTAACTTACAAATTAAAGTACCTCACTATTGATGAAGCATTTATAAGGTTTTCACAACCAGTTTCCTCTTTTCATCAAAAATTTACAAAATAGTCCTGTTTATAGACTGAACTTTCCCTTCAGAAGATTGGGGCAAAAATAACCACATTTTTTTTAATAGAAACCGAAAATTGACTCAAATTTTGTCTGTTGGCTACACAATTATGGTTCATTTCCAGAAATACTGAAGAATATAAGAGAAAAAGTGCAAGAAAAAAATTGAGTGAGAAAGTCTGGTGGTGAAAAGGTTGAATGGTCATAGTAGCAATTTTTGTCAACATCAATAGTTTACAAGCATGCAATTCTTAGGTCCATGCATCTGTCTTTAAATGGAAAAAACAAAGAAAATATACATGTTAGCTGTCAGGTGATGAGGGCAAGTAGTTACAGTAAAACATGTCAAAACCAACCATGACTGGGACTGGGATCTATGGTCGGTTTTCAGAGGGAGTCTGTTTATTCAGGATGGGCGTGACTTTGATTGAAACAACAATTACATGCTGTAAACACGGGACAAATGAAAAACACCAGAGTTTGCCTCCAGTGATTATATTTACATTTATTGTATTGTTTCAATAAAGACATGACATGACATGACATGAATATTATGGTATGTACATGACATCAATTAAAATTAAATTAACTGTTCCAACAGACCGGGTAAGTATCGTGTATTTAAATTTAACATTCTAACCACATATTGTAGAATTTACTTTTGAAAAACAAATACAACACTCCTTAGGAATTTAATAGGGTCCAAAATAGTATGCCAATAAAAAGGTTTTAAAGAAGTCACTGTTCAATAGTACAAATATTAGAGAATTATGGGTAATTTGTAGTACTATACACTATGACAGAATTCCAGTATACCTGGTATATTAAGTTTACTTTCCAGTATCATAACTCAGCTGTCATTTGGTAATAATTGTTTGATTCAAAGCTTTTGTTCACAGAAATGCCAAAATTTTATACACCACTCATTTGGGAAGCAAAATACGCTGATACCCTGGGATTTCAAATTTGCATACCTTCTGGCTTCTTTTCATGCATAGCTAAGAAGGCTAGTGGTAAAGCAATTGATGCATGTCTTTTCAAGACATCTGGAGCATATCTAGCCATGGCTTGTAATGTCACACCACAAGCTATATGTATATTCTCTTCTTCTTTTTCCAAATACCATGTCCGTAATTTTATCACCAGTTTTTCAGTACTGCTATCTTTTGCTACCTTAACAATGTGTCCTAGTGCTGTTGCATTAGCTTTACGTACAGCCGCACTCCTGTCATTCAGACCAACCAGATGGGCACTCAGTAGTTTACCTATAAACCAATATAATTATGAAATGATCCTGCAATGCTGATACATGATATGTGGACAAAATGCCTGACAGAGTTTCTCAAAAGTTATAAACATTTCTATGTAACTATTATTTAATGTATATTGCAGAAAATGTGTGTATGTACTAGTCTAAGAGCATTGTCAGACTATCAACAGCTGGGACTGAACAAGACAGTTGCTTTAATGCCAAGGTAGTTTGATGCCCTTAGAAAAATACAGACTTTTTCTTTACAATTCCTATATGCTAAAACAGGTGTTCTCAACAGTATGTATAGAAAATACAAATAACACAGACAGAATTCAAGAATATTTTTAATTATCACATGACCATGATGAGTATTATTCACAGTTTTGACATTGTATGCATGTTCAAACATTATCATTTTTATCACAATGATTTAAGAATTTCACACTGGATAACAACAGTTACTAGTAAGATGCCAAGACAACTTGAAAAATGTCAAATTAGCATATGACTCATAACTGTAGTTTGTTATAATTACAATATCAATGTTTTTTAGTCGGTCATGTAATGCAATAATTTGATATTTCTTATTCAAAGAATAGGCCACAAATGCAATTACCTCTACGCTCTACCTGACTGCATTGGTGCCCTTCAATTTTCCAGTTTCAATGAGACTATAATATAAAGGCCTTTTATCTTGACTATAGACGTACTATACACAGCAAAACTATCTTACCTGCAAAGGGCTGTAAATCTTGTGGGCACTGATGTGTTAGCATAATAATAAAATTAGCACAGCCAGCCTAGAAATAAAGAAAAAAAAATGAAAGAAATGATTAGATTCAGTAAAACAAACGTTTATTCTGTAATTCCATGCTTTTGCAGATGGCAGAAATAATGGCATTCATGGTAATCAAAAAAAGCTTATAAACCTTATAACAGATACGATGAAAACACTGAAAATAACCTGATTACCCAGGTATTATGCAAACTGATGAAAACACTGAAAATAACCTGATTACCCAGGTATTATGCAAACTGATGAAAACACTGAAAATAACCTGATTACCCAGGTATTATGCAAACTGATGAAAACACTGAAAATAACCTGATTACCCAGGTATTATGCAAACTGATGAAAACACTGAAAATAACCTGATTACCCAGGTATTATGCAAACTGATGAAAACACTGAAAATAACCTGATTACCCAGGTATTATGCAAACTGATGAAAACACTGAAAATAACCTGATTACCCAGGTATTATGCAAACTGATGAAAACACTGAAAATAACCTGATTACCCAGGTATTATGCAAACTGATGAAAACACTGAAAATAACCTGATTACCCAGGTATTATGCAAACTGATGAAAACACTGAAAATAACCTGATTACCCAGGTATTATGCAAACTGATGAAAACACTGAAAATAACCTGATTACCCAGGTATTATGCAAACTGATGAAAACACTGAAAATATCCTGATTACCCAGGTATTATGCAAACTGATGAAAACACTGAAAATAACCTGATTACCCAGGTATTATGCAAACTGATGAAAACACTGAAAATATCCTGATTACCCAGGTATTATGCAAACTGATGAAAACACTGAAAATAACCTGATTACCCAGGTATTATGCAAACTGATGAAAACACTGAAAATATCCTGATTACCCAGGTATTATGCAAACTGATGAAAACACTGAAAATA